CTGCCTGTCTCTGTCTGTCTGTCTGCCTGTCTGTCCTGGGCCCTACTAAACTTGTACCTACAGCTGCCCCTACAAGCAAGCTCAGGTATGAGTTTGGGGGTGGCGGGATCAACGTCAGTGTGGACCCCAGCAGCCTCTTGCAGATAGAAGAAGTCTCGCGCATCAGGGCTCAAGGGATTAGGATTTAGGGTTTAGGGTTGAGTCCTAAACCCTAAACCCTAAACAAGATTGCTCGCGGAGTGGCCTTGGTTTCTCAGGCGTTGTTCGTGTTTGGGTGTTAACGGTTTAGGGTTTAGGGTTTAGAGGCAGGCGGTTTCCGGTTTTGGTTCCGTCGCCGTGGATGTCATGTCTTTCGCTTAGGCTTTGAGGGTGAGCCCGAAAATCCCTAATCCCTCAAGCCCTAACCCCAAAGCCCTAAAGCCTGAAGCCCCTAATCCCTGAAGCCCTGAACCGTAACCCCTGCAGACCCTAAAGCCTGAACTCTGAAGCCTGAATCCCTTCCAGATTTGAGGGTTTGTGGTTTAGGGTTTAGAGTTTAGGGTTTAGGGTTAAGGGTGTATGACAGGCGCTCAGGTTCAATACTAAACCCCAAACCCCCTCAACCCGAAACCCTAAACCCCAAACTCCTCTAAACCCTAAGCCCTCAGCCCCCCTGAACCCCAGAATGGCCGTAATATAGGGGCCTTAATAATTAGAATAGGGTTTGGGTATTTATGATAAGGAACCCCCAAACCCTAAACCCTAAACCCTAAACCCTAAACCCTAAACCCTAAGCCCTAAACCCTAAACCCTAAACCCTAAACCCTAAACCCCCACAAGCCCATTCTAATTGTTAAGGCCTCTACATTGGAACCCGAAAGAACCCAGAACAACCAAATCCGGCCACGGGGTTCCCATACGGTTTAGGGTTTAGGGTTTAGGGTTTAGGGTTTAGGGTTTAGGGTTTAGGGTTTAGGGTTTCCATGCCCCATGCCCCAAAAATATCTAAGTGACTGGCTTGGGGCTTGGGGTTCAGAGTTTAGGGTTTAGGGCTTAGGAGGCTTTGGGTTTAAACCCTAAACCCTAAACCGGGTTTCGTAGGGTTTAGGTCCCAAGGTTTAGGGGGTTTAGGTCCCAAGGTTTAGGGTGGCGCCTTCTTGCTTTACGACCGTCTTCAGGCTTTTGGAGAGGAGGTTCCGAGGAGCCCGGCCTATGAGAAGATGCAGGGTTTAGGGCTTAGGGTTTAGGGTTTAGGGTTTAAATTGGGGTTTCGGGTTGAGGGTTTCGGGTTTAGGGTTTGTGGTTAAGGGTTTAGGGTTTAAGTAAAAATGGACCAAGATGTGCCGCTGTGCAAGGAGCTCTTGGAGAATACGGGGTACGATGTTCTCCGAAAGTAACCACCGGCACCACCCGCACCACCCTCACACCCTAAACCCACTCCAGAAATGGAGTAGCTGAGGGGGTTGGGGGAGGAGGAGCTCAAGTTCCTCCACAAGTGGTGTGAGCAGGAGGGCGACCCGCCTATGGCTTACACCACTTGACGGTCCGCCCAAGGCAGGATGCCCGCTGGTGGTCATCGTGGCGAGGGACACAACCCGCTAACGCCTGTAACTATAGTAAGGAACCCCCCCTATTGGTTGGTATTGGTAATCTGATATCACTGAACCGTAACAGCAGCATTTATACATTGGATGTGCAGCAGTCTTCCGGTATGCTTGTGCAAAATATTTGCAGCATTAGTGATAGCAATATTTTGGCGTCAATGTTGCAGAGTCCAGTTTTGCCCATTCCCCAAAATCCAATAACAACAGCACAGGTCAACAGGGTAGTACTAGCAACAACACTGTCGGTAGGAAAACAGTACGGTGTATCACTTGATGCGGCAATGATAGCAGCATGACTCGCAGTTAACCCTGAACCCTAAACCCTAAACCCCCTAAACCCCTAAACCCTCTATAGCCGATATCCTAGACCTCATGCCTTCAAGCCCTAAACTCCAATCCGAAGAGGTATTAAAGAAGCTTCAAGCACCATTACCGACAAACCTAAGCCAAAATCCGCTAAATCCTAAACCCCAAAGCCTAAACCCTGAACAGGGTTTAGGGTTTAGAGGTTTAGGGTTTATGGTTTAGGGTTTAGGACCCTAAACCTAAACAACTTAGCGTGGACGCGGAAGGCAAAGGGCCCGTTAGCCACCGACGCTTCAGCCGGGGGCACGAGAAGCCACGGCAGCATTTTTGGGGTTTCGAGACGGTCTCGGGCTCCTTTAACAGTTCCTTCCTTCACGGGTTCTTTTTCGGGTTCGGTAAGAAAAGGATTCCTTGCATCAGGGTTCCTTGGTTCCTTTACGAGTTCCAGTCAAGGTTCCCTTTAGAGGGTTCTATGAACCCTAAACCCTAAACCCTAAACCCTAAACCCTAAACCCTAAGCGTTCTTAGTTGCCCTGGGAGGGTTGAAGTTCAGGGTTGAGGCGTCTCCGTACACCCTAAGCCCTGAGTTTCTAGTGGTTGATGTTTACCGGTGCTTTTTCTTTTATGATGACCCATCCGACTGAGACCTCTAACCCTCTGTTCTAAGGATCCCTTTAGGTTTTGGGTTTTAGGGTTTAGGGTCCCTAAACCCTAAAACCCTAAACCCTAAACCATAACCTCCCGACTTTAGCCCCGAGCCCCTGGAGTATACCGTGGCCAGCAGCCCATTGGCGAGCTTCGGGTGGGCAATGTCCCGGTATTGAGGTGGCGAAGATGACCCGCTTGGAGCTGCAAAACGAGGAGGATTTAGGGTTTAGGGTTTAGGGGCTGGCTAAGTTGCTTAAGTTGGGAGCAGCCTAGCCAGTAACCAGTTCGACTTAAGGCTTGGCAGAAGCGGGATGGAGTCTGGCATTTGGTGACCAGCACTCCGGAATCGTCGGGGGCGCCCACGTATTTTTGGCCCAACCTCACGCGCCTCTGCGAAATTACATATTCAGTAACGATAATTCCGTACCCAAGGACGCCGCCGTCTCAGGGCTGGGCAGTGGCATCCAGGAGCTCCGGATCGGTGGCAAGTTCGGTGCGCTTCATGGTGCCGATGACGCCAGCGGGGACGCCGCCTCTTAGTATTATTGAGGCCAACAAAATAGCGGCCTTGGAGACCCAGCTGGAGTCCGTCAACACGTTGAACAAACAGTGGATCCAGTGGGGCACGGCACCCGCAACAAATGATGGTCGTGCCCGAACGGTAGAGGGTCCAGCGGCTGTTGTGACAGCCGACGATGTGCAGCGAACGCAAAGATGCGCTGGCACGCTGACACAGGTCTGTAACCCCTAAACCCTAAACCCTAAACTGCCCTAAGCCCGAAACCGCAGGAGTTAGCTCAGCGTAGCTGTTTCCTTCAACGCCCGCCTGTGACACATCCATGCCTCGCAAGTTTGAGCTCAGCCTACCTGTTTCTTTACATGTTTAGGGTTTACCTTTAACCCACCAGATCCGTCCTTTTTTGTTTAGGGTTTAGGGTTTAGGGTTTAGGGGTTAGGGTTTAGGGCCTTAAATTTTGTAGGGTCGCTATAAATCCCATGTTAGGGTTTTCCATAGGAGCCTACGAAAAAGTGGTTTTGGTAGGTAAAGGCAGGGTTTGGTCAGTCCCAGAAAACCCGAAGCCTAGGGCCCCCCAACTCAGATCCTGTAGCGACTCTGTAATATAGGGATGTAAATAAGTATCTATAATACTACCATATTATAAATATAGTATAATCTACCCGAAAAGCCTATTCTATTGATTAAGACCCCTACATCAGCTGCCCCTACATCAGCTGTAGGAGATGGCTTTCCTGCTTCGTTTAGGCTGATCGCGCATCCCGGTGCTTCCTGCGTTGCCTGTCCCTGCTTGTAGAGTTTAGGTTGTAGGGTCGTAGAGTCTGCCGTGCAAAATAGCAGGTAATGAAATGACCTTCTCCCTAAACCCGAAATTCATACTAAGCATTCAAGAGCGCTGAATCATACACTTAAACCCGAAGTCGCAGGACCGTGAACCCTCGTATGTGAACCCACATAGAACATTTTTAACCCTAGGACGTAAACCGTGGATTTCAAAAAGTGCGGCTTAGATTGGGGGTTTCCGAAAATAGGGGACCCTAATATCCTAATATAGTACCCTACATAATAGGATCCTTACTAATACGGACTCCAAAATAAGGTACCCCTTATGTTCGGAAACTCCCAGTCCTTATCAGGTCTTAGAGCGTTTCATGGTGCTCTATGAAGCGTCTCATAGGGCCCCATAGGGTTTAGGGTTTAGGGTTTAGGGTTTAGGGTTTAGGGTTTAGTGTTTAGGGTTTAGGGTTTAGGGATAGGGTTTAGGGTTTAGGGTTTGACGATTTATGGGGCTCGGACCGGACATATAAGTCTGACAGACACAACACAACGAAAGCTTTTGTAGTAACCCTCACAGCAACGCTCATTGAACCATATTCGAAGCAAGCCCAGCCGCAATCCTTATAGAACCCGCTTTACAATCCTTATGGTAACATGTAGACCTCTGATAGCAGATTTTTTTTGGTGAAGCGACCCTATAGACCCTAAACCCTAAACCCTAAAGAGCCTTTGTTACAGCCCTAGTAGCGACCCTTATCGAACCCCCACGGTACCCTGAGCCTTCTAAGGCGAGGTAATTCGCCTTATACTCAGCCCCATATAGCAATCCTTATAGCAACCTTCGTCACCCCTATAACCCCTTCAAGGAACCCTAAACCCTAAACCCTAAACCGTGTCTTCCTGTTTAGGTTCTTGTCGTATCCGAAACGTAGTGCAAGAACCGAGGATGGTCCATTTGGGGAGCACCACCTTGAACCCCAAGGCAAGGGTTCTTTTGGACGGGTTCCTTTTGAAGAGGTCTCCAAGGGTGCGTTGTGGTTCTATAATTCTATAACAGATTTGCAGGGGTTTTGCGTAGAGTCTCTCTTGGGTTCTTTGGGGATGATTGGGCGTAGAGGTTTTGGATGTGAGGGTTTAAGGGGAAGGGTTGAAAAGTTTCAGGCTCAGGGCTCTTGAGGCTCGACCCTAAACCCTAAACCCTAAACCCTCGCTGTTGAGCCTTTCCTTGTGGGCTTTGGAGCTCCAAGGCTTTCGAGTTAACCGGTCTTCGGATCTTAAGCACAGCTTTGGGTTTAGGGTTTAGGGTTGATTTAGGGTTTAGGGTTTAAAAGTTTAGGGTCTAAGCCATGGGACAGTCTTGAACCGCGTGTCTTTCTATCTGGGGTCTGTGAAGTGTAGGAGCCTGAATCATTAGAATAAGGGTTTTGAGTCCTTAAGAGTTTGTGGGTAGTTTTCTAAATTAGGGTCCCTTTTGGGGTCCTTTTTATAAGGGTGCCGTACTATATTGGGGACCTAAAAAGGGACCCTAATTTAGAGAACTACCTATATTGAGAAAAAACGGAGCCCAGAGGAAAGATATTGGTAGTTACTAGTGGGTTTAGGGTTTAGGGTTTAGGGGGAGCTTAGGGTTTAGGGGTTTAGGATTTATAAGGCTTCTACAGTAGAAAAGCTTGCAAGCTCTTGGGGCTCGGTTGTGGAGCTTGACAATGGGGTTTTAAGAGTGGAGCCCTAAACTCTAAAACACCTGGAGCCCCCTAGCCCCGGAGGCCTTAATCCAGGGGTGTGTGTGTGTATCTATTTATCTGTATATATATATATATACACACGCACACACTTGTTGTTCAGTGTGTCTTGTTTGGTCTTCGTCGGGCTTTGTCATCCGTGCTTAAGGTAGGTCCTTTCGAGTTATAGACGGGTCCGTCGTATGATTTCCCCGTACATTCCTCAAGGGGTTGCAGGATCTTACCTGTGTGTTCAGGGCTGGGGAGGGTGCAGGCACGAGACTACTGTTATTATATTGCGCATATTATACATATATATATATATACACATGCATCCGTATATATATATATATATATATATGTATATGAAAGTGTATATACATATGTCTCTCTCTCTCTATATATATATACATACACCTGTACACATACATACACTCATACACATGTGTATGTAAAACGTATCAGCACTGCCAGAACTTCTGGAAGTCATCAGCAATCTTCGGTAGCAACTGGTCGATCGACACTGGCACTCACCTTTGTTCGACCCTTAGGGCTTAGGCACGGCTCCGTATGGTCTTTCAGAATCATGTAGGAGGTGCTGTGACTTGCTGTGGCATTGTGAGCCCAATCTCTACACACGTAGACCTACAGCCCTAAACTCAGGTTTAGTAAGCTTTAAGGTTAGTTTAGGGTTTTCAGCTTTTAGGGTCTAGGGATTTTAGGGTTTAGGGCTTTTAGGGTTTAGGGTTTTCGTGTTGTTTAGGGCAAATTGAACAGGGTTTGGTTTGGGCGTTTAGGGTTCCTTTAAAGCGAACAGGGTTTAGGGTTCAGGGTCACAGGGGAACCGGGTAACCGGAGGCCATGATGACGTTGCTCACCGACTATTTCCAGCCTGGCACGTACGACATGCTGAGAAAGAACTGCAATTCCTTCACCAGCGCTTGAGCTCGGATTGGAGGGTTTCGGGTTCAGGGTGTGGCTCAATGCTTACTTCCAGAATGGTTCTGTTCAGGCTTTATATGGGGTGTACGCCGGCGTAGGGATTTAGGGTTTTGTGCTTGAAGGTTTACGGTCAGTATACTAGGAGAGGAGCCGTAGCGGTTAGTGCTTTTCCTTTTTCGTCCCCAAGCCCTAAACCCCCAAAACCCCAAACAGAACACCCTACTAACCGTGTCATAGTTCTGGTGTGGTGTAATTACTTTAAGAAGCCAAGAGGTTACCATTCCATTTCATGGGCTCGAGGATTTAGGTTCAGGGTTTAAGGTGTAGGGTTCAAGGTTTCGGGCTTGGGGTTTAGGGCTTAGGGTTCAGGGTTTAGGAAAGATTAGGGTCTAGGGTGCAGGCTTAGGGTTGCTTAAGAATCATGGGCAACCATGCGGTGACATTCGGCTTAGTCCGAAAACCGTAAACCCACCACCCCCAAAACCCACAACCCTTGAAGCCCAAAACCCAAAGTCTTGAGGCCCTGTACTGTTCTGCAGGCTGAGGAGCAATGGCCTCTAGAAAACCAGGCTTAGTACCCTGGGTTTAGGGCTTACTCCTCTGGGTTTAGGGCCTATAAGGTTGGGGGTTTAGGGTTTGGAAATTGGGATTTAGTGAATGTAGGGTTTGGGGTTTAGGGTTGTAGTATGTGCCCTCGGGTGCTGGGTTTATGTCTTCGGAATAATGGCTTTGAGGGTTCGTTAGTTTTCCTTAAGCACAGTTCTACAGGGTTTTACACAGTGGCCTGAATGGTTAGACTGGGATTTGGGGGGATTCTCTGGCAGCAAAAGCAAGATCATATAGTGACCACAAGGGGGTGTTCTTAGTAATGATTCCGACCCACATCTCTCCACCCTAAACCCTAAACCCTAAACCCTAAACCCTAATCCCGACCCTGCAGCCTACCCAAGGCTGCTGTCTTCATTTCCTCTTGGGGAAAGCGCCGCTGGTCTGTCACATTGGCCCCGGATATGCAAATCGTAAACCCTGAACCCTAAGCCATAGACCCTGAACCCTAAACCCTAAACCCTAAACCCTGAACCCTAAACCATAGACCCTGAACCCAAAACCCTAAACCCTAAACCCTGAACCCTAGACCCTGAACCCTAAACCCTGAACCCTAGACCCTGAACCCTGAACCCTAGACCCTGAACCCTGAACCCTAAACCCTGAACCCTAAACCCACTACCCTGAACCCTAGACCCTGAACCCTAAACCCTAAACCCTAAACCCCGAACCCTAGACCCTGAACCCCAAAGCCTAGGTCCGCGACCATAATAAGAACTTTGCACCTCCCAAGCCCTAAGCTTTCATCCTGAACCCTAAAGTTACACGATGTTTAGGGTTTAGGGTTTAGGGTTTAGGGTTTAGGGTTTAGGGTTTAGGGTGTCCTGCAGTTCTTGGGCAAGGCTCCGGCCGATCAAGAGCCACTGTTGCCGCTGATCTACAGGTGCTGGGCTGCGCCATGGCCACTGCAAGGGGCGGAGCAGATTCGGTGGCAGTTCGATGAGGTCTATCATTCGGTGGGGAATCGCGGGAGATCCTGCGAAGCAGGTGATTTGCAAGTTTATGACAGGCACGCTGCCAAAAACTCCTCGCAAGGTGCAGCAAGAATAGAATTCAAGAGCGCCCTAAACCCTAAACCTTAACCCTAAACCCCCCAGACACCTGCAGGCAGGTTTATGGTTTAAGCTTTAGGCTTTGTGGTGCAGGGTTTAAGGTTTAGGGCCTAGGCTTTGGGCTTCAGGGTTTAGGATTCAGGGAGGCTTCAATCCGACCAAATCCAACACTGCAATCCGAAACCCTAAACCCTGAACCCGAAACCCTGCCACGGCTGCGTGCTTCGGGATGTCGGCTATTTAGAACCATCTCTGACAACTCTGAGTTTAGGGCTTCAAGGGGTTAGGGTTTTGAGCTTCAGGGCTCAGGTTTAGGGTTTTAGGATTTTGGGTTTGAGTTTAATACCTAAACCCTAAACCCAAGTGGCTTATATATAGCCCTCCTCGTACAATAGCTCGCACAGGGTGGGCAGAAATGTTCGCAGGGAATGGCCCCACAAGTCTAAGCCCATTATAGGTGGGTAGTTATAGGGTGGGTAGTCTCCCATAAGCCTCCTATACCACTCCTATAAGGTAAAAGGGCCTTATGCGAGTCCTTATGGGAGTACTTTGGAAACTACCCACCTGTAAAGGGCTTCTAACAAGGCACTGCACAACATGTTAGGGATCTTTCTGGGGAAGCTTCCCCCTCGACCACAGGGTTTAGGGTTTAGGGTTTAGGGTTTAGGGTTTAGGGTTTCAGGGGTTCAGGGTTTAGGGGTTTAGGGGTTTAGGGTTCAGGGTCTTGGGGTTCAGAGTTTAGTGTTTTAGGGTGTGGGGTTTAGGGTGCAGCAGCTCCGGATCGAGCAGTTTCCAGTCGAGCGCAACTCCGGAAATCATCCCACCAACCCAAGATTCCCACAACAATAGGAAACTGTTCTACCTTTCTTGAAACTGAAGGCGGAAATCCTAAACCCTGAACCCCAAACCCTGGTCCTAAACCCTAAGCCCCAAAAACCTAGGCCCAAACCCCAGGCCCCTAAGCTTTAGACTTTAAATCCTACAAGCCCCAGGCCTAAGCCTCAAACCCCAAATCCTAAGCCCAAAACCCGAGGCCTTGAAAAATTCCTACGAAGGGCCGGCTTCGTGAGAATTTGGCGATTCCTTCCTGAGAAGTTGGCGAAAAAACTCCGAAACCGCCAAATTCTCACGAATCGATTAAGGTTTGAAGACATATGATAAAGAGTGTTTAGGGTTTAGGGCTTCAGTGTTTCAGGGTTTAGGGTTTTAGGGTTTAGGGCTTCAGTGTTTCAGGGTTTAGGGTTTAGGGTTTTAGGGTTTAGGTGTGTAGGGTTGCAGGTTTAGGGGTTTAGGGGAATAATGGGTTCAGAGTTTCGGGTGCCTCGGCCCTCAGCCCGTGCAGGAGCCCTAAAAAGACTTCTGGAAAACAACATTCCATATAGCCGCCATAGAAAGTTTTGTTGGGAGAATCGTTACAACAACTCTATATGCATTCATATATATACATGCATATATACACACAAACACACAGAAAGGTGAATCAATAAACAGGTAAGCAAACAAGCACATAACACATCAGTAAATGTACACATACATACATACATACATACATACATACATACATACATACATGCATACACACATACACACATACATACATACCTACATGCATACGTACATACATACATACATACATACATACATACATACATAATTAATTACATACATACATAGATACATAGATACATAGATACATAGATACATAGATACATAGGTACATACATACATAC